TATTTTGAAATTTAAAGAATTTTTACTTCTTTTTCAACTTAGACAAGTCTATCTAAGGAAAAGTAAAACAAGATAGATTTAATATCTAGTACACCCTTTGAAATGGATACTTTGTTCTTGAGACATTGAAATTTCAAAACAATGTTCTTTTTTTAGAGAACATATCACAAGAATAGAGATATCTAAAGAACAAAGCATTCATTTAGGACATCAAGAGAATTGCAAACTATTAGCTAATCTATCGAAACATATTTTGATGTAAGTCACCAAGTACTGTATTATGTTTTAGCTATTTCATGGACAGTTGCTTCAACAATAACAGCATTAGTATTTATGCCAAAGTTTCGTGAAATGAATTATACAAGTGCATATGAAGTATGTTCATGTGTGATTTTTCTTTTATCAAGTCTTGTATTATATATTATTTAGTATTTGGAAAAGCGTTTTGATCGTGCAGTACGCATGTGTGCATCCTTTACTTTTTCGTCTTTTATGGTAAAAAAATCTTGAATAATTAAATTGACATTATATGTATTATGTAAATAGCTAATCTATATGGCTATTGTTTTATATGCTCCTGCATTAGCACTTAGTCAAAGTAATAATATTCATTTAATTTTTGAAATAAAAATTGATGTTTAATTTTATTCAGCTACTGGTTTAAATATTTGGCTTTCTGTCGTTTCAATTGGTGTTATTTGTACCTTCTATTCATCTGTGGTATGTAATTAATAGACATATAAAACGGTTTAGTTATAGTTTAGATGTGAGGAACTGTGCAAACAGTCGTTTTGATAAAAACTGAATTTTTCGAATAATTCTCTCTGACAAATTGATGTTGTTTGAAGTGTGTTCTGATAAGAAATAATTGACTAAAAGTAAAGTATTTATCAATAGATTCTTGATGGTTATCTTCAGCTGATGCCTATCGTGTTTGAAAGTTATCTGGGAATCAAGTCTGTAAGTTTTTGAAGGTTATGTAAAGAATGTACCAAGAACTCTTTGAGAATACTTGATATCACGAGGAAAAGTACAGGCTTCAAAATTTCAAAAGATTTCATGCAACTTTCTTAACTGCATGAGTCTGCAATTTTGTCCTTACTCGGGTTTCTCGTTTGGTATCATTCTGAGTTAACTCTCGAAAACTTTTAGTTAGTTATTGAATCAAATAGTTCTTATCACAGTTCAATAGTTCGTTTGATCTAAACTCATGAACTATAAGTATCATAGACATAATATATAAAAACAAAAACAAATGAATTATGAAAGGGTTACTTTTTTTTCTTTTCTTTTTTTGTAACTAGGGTGGTATGAAAGCAGTTATTTGGACAGATGTGTTACAAGCATTAGTCATTCTTGTTGGTCTTCTTGCTTCGATTATACAAGGTTGTAAAAAAAGAATAAAGCAATATAAATGAAAAGAATCTTTTTCTTTGTTTAGGTTTAATAACACTTGGTGGTTTTAGAAGAGTATTTTCAATTGCATACGAAGGTGGCAGAATTGAATTTGATAGGTATTTTTCGAAATGTTATAGCATTATTTTCGAAACAAAAAAGACATCAGATTACTTGCAATGGAAAATTTAGAAAAAAAGCATTAGATTGGAAAATTTGATTGAAAATTCACTTTTCCTAGTGAATGATTCTGATCTTCGTTAGAAAACTATGCCAATTCGTCTTTCATACTTAAACTGAAATTTATCCATCTATCTAACTTAATCTGATAGAATAAATAATAATGATAATCAAGTAATGAGTTAAATTGAAAGATTTCGCTACTCCAGTATACAATATAGATCAGTCAAAAATGGTTGACAAATGTGTAATGTAATATTTTGACGAATTTAATGTGTCTTTTATGAGAAATATTTTTTATGATTTATTTCTTTGTTTTGATTCACTATTTTGTTTTGCAGGCCGTATTGAAAAAGAGTGACCTATTGACAGCTCTGGCTCATACTGAATTAGATGGATTGCTCATAAAATAATTTTACTGAACTTAGTACTTTCATCGTGATCATATTATCATTGGCTTAGTATATGAGTACCTTGAATTCAGTACATTCTGTAGGAATGATGCATTATATCGAAATGGATCAATATTTTTGAAATCTGTTAAAACTGACTAACTAATTTGGGTCAATTTGAGTGTTCACTGACATTGTTGATGCGTGTGAACCGTCTCTATTATTAAAATGAATTCTGAAACTGTTTTCTTCTCGATTAATTTCAATTCTATATAATAAATATTTTGACTTTAAGTAACAAAAATTCTCTGTAAACTAATCATTTATAGTTGAAACCGAATGTTCTAAGTGTTACAGTCAATTCTTATGAATATTACGGTAGTACGAACAAACATATGACATGAAATAAAAAATTGAGTACAATTAAAATATGCCTTAGTTCTTATACTCAGTTTAATTTTTTAAAAGCATCTATGTTTAGCAGGGCTCGAATCGGGCCGCCCGGCCCAACAAGACTCGGTCCGGGCCAACGAATTTTTCCTGTTGGGCCGGGCAGGCCAACCAAGAAAGACCAACGGGCCGGGCGGGCTGAAGATTTTGTCAGGCGGTCCGGCCCAACAACATTGTTGTGTACTCAAAAAGTGAGTACACTCTAGAACCGGTCAGTGTGTCCGTCCGGCAGGCCGTTAACACGATAACTTTTGAAAGGAGAGTCCGATCGCGATGAAATTTTCTACACAGTTTAGTCTTTACAATATCTCGGTCGAGTTCGAAGATGAGAATGATTGGCCGAGCCATTGCTGAGTTATTGCAAAAATAGTCAGTTTTCCCTATGAGAAGATAGACCCTTCTCTGCTTTCGTAAAAAACTTTTCCTATCATAGTCATATAAACCCCCAACTATTATATACCATTCGATAGAGAATTTCACGAGCTACAAAACAGTATATAAAACATAAAGAAACAACAAGGCTAGCTCACCTATTGCAGAGATAAACAAACGGAAATCGGTTCTGTTTTTGTCTGCGCTCTAATCGATCCACAATTCGAGCTCTATCTTCCGATCACAGAGATAATACTTCGAGGTTTTCTAGGATGAAGAACTCGAATTTGTAATCCACTTCACTCGAAGCCCCATTGGTTGAGCACTGACCAATAGAAACCAAATTGTAGGAAAAACGAGTTTTTTAGGATAACTCGAGGCGATGAGTCCAAATCTGAGCTGTGTTCACTCCGAAATCCGATTGGTTGAGTAGTAGCCAATAGAATTCAACTGTTTATAGAAAGGATTTGCCAGGCTAATTTTTATATCCGCACATTCTAGGATGACCGATTTGTCTCATTTACTTTTTGAAGTACACATAACTCTCGGATTTAAATCCGAGGTTTCTACATTTATTTTTATTAAATTTTATAGATGTCATCAGGTTCAGAAATTATAACAAAATATATATTATGGAAGTGTTTATGAAAGTGTCACCAGATAGTAGAGTAAGCAAATAACTTTTTGTTTATGAAATCTGTTATTTGTTTTCTTTATGGTGGCTTTCACACGTAATCAACAACAACTTTTTTCTGTTCGTTAATTTTTTTTTATTAGCTTCATTCATTGAATCCAGACACGGTAGAAGATGTTCCTTTTGTTCGTTCCATATAAAAACCATTAATGAATAACCCTAATCTTTTCTCAGATAAATGTTGATTTTTTTCATGTGTAATGTATTATTTTCACTGGTTCTACATCTAGTAGTTTTTCGTGGTACTTGCTAATTTCTTTTTTTGTTATTACATTAATGATCCAATGTCATTAAATTCATCAATAAATTATTGATGTACACTACGGAAATTTCTTTTGAAATACGACGTTTATTGTTATAATCAGTTCTGCAAAAAATATTTTCTAAAACTAATTTCGTTGGGCCTAGGTCTGGTCGGGCCGGGCGGGCCGAAAACACGACAAGTTGGGCCTGGTGGGCTGCAGATTTGATGGGCCGCTTTGGGCCGGACCGGGCCAGAAAATAGTGGCCCAGTTCGAGCCCTAATGTTTAGTTATTTTTCTGAAAAGAGTTTGTATTTGAGCAATTAAAAATTCTTTCTTATATTTCTAGTATAAGTCCTGATCCTCGAACTCGTCACACAATATGGTCATTGCTTATCGGTGGTAGCTTGAATGCATTATCAACCTACGGTTTTAATCAAACACAAGTTCAACGTTATATGTGTGTTCGTTCAACACGTGGTGCTAAACAAGCATTGTTTATAAATGCAGTTGGTGCTGCTATTGTTATTATATTATCATCATTTATTGGAGTTATTCTTTATGCATATTATGCTGGTTGTGATCCACTGACAGCTAAAAGAGTTTCTGATGTTGATCAAATATTTCCATATTTTGTTATGGACGTATTAGGTGGTAAACCAGGTTTACCAGGAGTATTTCTAGCTTGTATTTTTTCTGGTTCATTATCAACAATATCATCTGGTTTAAATAGTCTTGCAGCTGTTATTATTGAAGATGTTTATAAAGGTTTAATGCGTCGAAAATTAAGTGATGAACGACAAGGTCTAATATCAAAAATCTTTTCTGTTGTATTAGGAGCTGTAGTTATGTTATTAACATATGTTGTTAGTTATCTTGGTTCAGTTCTAAATGCTGCATTATCTTTATTTGGTGTTTTATCTGGACCAATAATGGGTGTTTTTTTTCTTGGTTTCTTTTTTCCACAAGCTAATCGTCATGGAGGTTTAGTTGGTTTTCTAACAAGTCTTGCTTTACAATTATGGATTTTTTTGGGTGCACAAATAACAAAAAATCAAATGAAGAATGTACGTTTGAACTTAACTATTGATAATTGCACTGAACCTGTAAATATAACAACAATATTAACTTCATCACCGATAAAGTAATATTTAAAATAAATATTCAATTTTATTGACATGTATCTCCTTTAGACGTGATCCATTAATTGATTTTTACTCTGTTAGTTATATGTGGTATACACCAATAGCTGTTCTGTCTGTTCTTATTGTTGGTCTTACTGTATCGTATTTAACACGTCCACATAAACCGAATGAAATCGATCCGAAATTACTTATACCAATAGGTGATGCTTGTTGTTGTTGTTTACCCAAACGTATTCGTGATTTTCTTCGATGTGGAGTTGATTATGAGAATTATTTTCAAGAAAAACATGTTTGTATTTAATTCTTTCTTTTTTATTTCTATCAATAAGTAGAATACAATTTCGT